AGTTTGTTGAATCTGACGTGACATGTTCGTACGAACCCTTTGTACGAACAAAAGTAAGAGAAATTTAGGATAAGAATACGAACATGTTCTTGCGTGAGGCCCAATATGTACAAAATTATGTGTAAGACAGATTTTTGAAGAAACATATAAGTTGTCAGAATCAAACAAATTAACTTTATTATTATTATTTTTGAAGATCTCAACAAAAACTTTGACCAGTGTCACCAGGCGCTGCAGCTCATCATCAGATATGTTCCCTCGTAAGTTACTTACTGAATTCTTCCTGTTTTTCTTCTCTTTCGCTCTTTGTGTTGTCTTTTTACAAAATTAAAGTAACCTTTCTAATTATCAAGTGTCTTTTAATGACTATTTAAAAACCTATTTAGCATTTCTGTTAAACTTTTTTATGTACATTTTCATGTTGTTTAGGAATATTTAAATGTTTCATGGTTTTAACACACAGAAAAGGTGAAAACTTAGTAAATTAAAAAGTGAACATGTTTATAGGAACAGATTAAGCTCAAGTTTTGTTAATAATGCTCAACAGAAATAGTCTTTTTCATACAAACTGTTTTGTAAACTATTCATATGCACATTTTGCGATTACTCAATTGTTTTATCAATTAGTAATAAGATTAAATCCTTTTGTACAGATGTGATTTTTCTCACTTATCACAAACACCACTTGTAGATCTCAACAATTGTTTGATACATTTTCAGTTTTATTGCTTTTCTTTTGAAGATATGTTTTTTTTCCCTTTTTGTTTAAGAACAAGTCACTTTCTTATTCCCATTCTGCAAGACAACTTTCCCTTCATACAGAAATCCTCCAGAACTCTGGTAAGAGACCCACTACCACCTGCTGTTAGCAGGATAAATAAATCCTTGCTTCTTTGTAATCTGTAATCCTGAGCATCACAACTCATGAAATGTATGTGGCCCATGTTACGTAATACCTTGTTTTATGAGTCTTTATTCAGCACGGTCCTATTTGCTGTGGTGTTCTGATGACACATTTTGAAAGTGGCTGACTGCACCAGACTAAACAAGCTGATACAAAGGACCTGTCTTTTTTTAAGAACATACCAGTATGACAAAAGTCATTGCCATTGGTCCTAAAGAAGAAGCTAATTATGTCCAACGACAATGATTCTCTCATCCGCAAAAAAGAGCAGACAGAACAGACTGTACTTCTAGAGGAAGCTAAGATTCTTCAATGTCTGCAGCAAGATGCTGCAGATCTTCTACAAGTCTTTTGTTGAGAGTGTCATCTCTTCTGCTGTCATCTGTTGGGGCAGCAGCATCAGAGCCAGGGACCTAAAAAGGCTGGTTCTGTTCTGGGGACGACTGTGGAACCTCTGGAAAAGATTTTACATAAAATCAAGAACATTGTGGACAACCCTGACCATCCTCTTCATCAGACTGTCATAGAACAACAGAGCGTCTTCAGTTGAAGGCTTCTTCAGTTCCATTGTAATACAGACCGCTACAGAAGATTTTTCCTGCCCACAGCCATGACCAGCTACAATAAGTCTTTAGTTAAATGAGTTACAACATCATCTCATTTCCCTCTGGGATCAATAAAGGATTTTTGAATTGAATTGAATCTCAAAAGCTACAGAGCCATCGTTTTAATTTGTTAGATCCAAACTCGATCCATTCTATCTAGAACCTCAGTGTTGACCTCACTGACGAGACCTAATCCTTAATCCTGAGACTTGGCCCTAATGTAATAAAACATCAGCTGAGCTCATCAGACGAGACCAAAGTTGCCACCTTAATATTATGGAGAGCCATTTTATTCAAAATACATTAATTAAATACATTAATTAAATAC